CAAATGAGGAGGGTATAAGAGCATACAGTATAAGTAAGTTACTATTACACTGACTATAGGTGTGACTTGACTCTACAAGTGTTTGTGCGAAAGAACTGCCATTTGTACACCTCAGCTACTGTCTATGCAGATCGTACATTCATGGATCATTCCCCGTGAATTACTTACATAAGTGCAGGCATAGGCAAACTCCAGCCCTCCAGATGTTTGGGACTACAATTCCCATCATCCCAGACCACTGGTCCTGTTAGCTAGGGATGATGGGAATTGTAGTCCCAAACATCTGGAGGGCTGGAGCTTGCCTATGCCTGCATAAGTGTATGGCTCCACTGTTAGTGTACACAGGCACAACAGATTGTACACGTGTTGGATGTAATGTGTGAATGCCCTATGGTGATTTACCAGAAATAAATTCCATTCGGTACAATGGGACTTACTCTGGGGTAATTGAGTTTAGGACTGCAACCGGAATCTAGTCATTTGATTGGAACAGTACGGAATAATATGGAAGGCTTAGCAAATGCCTCGAGCTAAAACCGCACCATTTGCCATGATACATGCACTGCCTTCTAATAAGTTTGTGCTCCATAAAAGAGACTGAGTCATGGTTTTGAAATGGCTGGCAAAGGTAAAGTGCTGCTGGGGTTTAGGGAGCATAGAAGTACCATGTGTGGGTGGTGATTGGTGTTGAGGGAGCAGCGATCTCATCATTATCTTTCGATGAGCAGACTTAGAGGAAAGAGGTTGGCTCCGTACTTATTTCATGGCCTCTTCTATATTGTAAATGCCTGGCTGGATCTTTGATCTGGATGCTGTCAAATGGCCCAACATGGATGTGCGATGTCACTGGCACACAGCTGGACGTAGTGCTTGTGATGTCATGCCAGTGTGGTGTAGTGGTTAAGAGCAGTGGATTTGTAATCTGGTGAACTGGGTTCGCTTCCCTGCTCCTCCACATGCAGCTGCTGGGTGACCTTGGGCTAGTCACACTTCTCTGAAGTCTCTCAGCCCCACTCACCTCACAGAGTGTTTGTTGTGGGGGAGGAAGGGAAAGGAGAATGTTAGCTGCTTTGAGACTCCTTAGGGTAGTGATAAAGCGGGATATCAAATCCAAACTCCTCCTCCTCCTCCTCTTCTTCTTCATGCAGACATGTGTGTGTGTGTGTGTGTGTGTGTGTGTGATGCACATCTGTATCTCCTCTAGGAGGAGAGTCAGTGAGCATTATGTATCACAAGCCTTTGCATGATATGTGGAGACCTTGTAAAACTGGGTGCAGTTTCACTAATCTCTGACATCCGCAAAAATGGACACAGGTCTGGTAGTTGCTTTGAAGAGATTCAGACATGATCGTGGCATCCCTAGAACAGGGATGGGGAACTTTTAGCACTCCAGATGTTGCTGAACTACATCTTGAATCAGCTCCAGCCAGCATGGCCAATGTTCAAGGCTGATAGAAGTTACCGTCCAACAACACCAGGCAGTCCAAAGGTCCTCTGCCCTTGTTGTATATTTATAACTTTGGACCCAATGATTTTGTGTGTGTGTGTGTACTGTAGTTTTTATTCATTTTCATCTTTAAACTGCTCAACATAGCTGCATTGAGAAATATCCTTCTTTTCATTAGAACGCATGACATGCAACAATTACATAGAAATAAAAATAAAACAGCAATGAATACTCAGATAAACGTTTCTGAATATATTAACAATGTTGTGTCAAAGTATATATACCAAAATTATCAGTTACTGCAGATATGAAATTATGCATAGTAATGTGTATTGCTTAGATTTGTATCAATAAACAATCTGAATTTATAGGAAGGGGGAGGGGGGGAGGGAGAAATAAAATAAAATATGTACTTCATGCACACTATTTATACTGTTATGCCACATGCCTCTTCATTTATGTAATCAACCAAGTCACACCAGACTGCATAAAAACTGTCATGTTTCCTTTGGCCTCTTGCTACTTTTAATTTTTGTGTGGGTTTTTCCAAACGTGCTGTTTACCAAATTGCATTTATACCGTTGGTTCATAATTGAAGTGATTTCCATGTCCTGGCAATAGTTGTTCTTGCAGTCATTAATATATGTGTTATGAGTTCTTTGTTTCTAATTTGCAACATATCCTAACTATACAAATTTGGAGCCAGTCCTGGAGTCATGGGGACTGTCTGCCTTGTAATCAAAGAGTGGAATCAAAGAGTGGAATTAATTTATTTTTGAAAATACTACTTCCATAGGGACGCCATCTATTTCCAAGTTCTCTAAGGCTCTCCATTGATTTCCCTTATTGCCAGACATTAGGTCTGTCAATGTTGCTGAGTCGATATGCATTGTAATAGTTGTTTAGCTTTGGAGTCCTCATCCTCCAACAGCAAATATTTTTTAATGTGTGGTTTGGCTGCTTGAAATATGAATTTGTTAAGTTTTCTTTAGCATTTGGGCATGTGGGCTGGTGGGAACCAAACTGGTAACATTTGAAATAAAAATAATAATTTGGAACAAGCATTATTTTAGTTGCAGCCAGTTGGTCTATGATAGAAAATTGTATTTTGTTCCAGCATCATATGTCCATATTTATTGTTTTCTTTACTTTGCTATAATTTATCTGATATATTTTGTTTAAATTATGGGTAACCTGAATGCCTAAGTATCTGAAGCTTTTCCTAGCTTTTGGGATTTGCAATATTTTGGCTAATTTTTCCTAAAGTTGCAGGGGAGTATGAAAGAACATTATTTCTGATTTTTGAAAAATTACCTTAAGTCCAGAAATATTGAAAAAGGTCTTCAATTCTATACAAAATAACTTCCCTGCATAAACTGGGTCTGATGTACATAAAACAATACTATCAGCATAAATTCCCAGAATGTAGTCTCACCATTTCCTGTCAGAATTTGGCATATCTCATTGCCAGAGGTTCTAAAATAAAAGCAAATGATGAAGTTGATAATGGGCAATCTTGTTTTGTCCTGCGGCTAAGCTGACATTTTTGTGAATCTGTATTTTATCCGAATTGTACCAAATGCAATATCATAAATTATTTCCAATATTCTGACATATTTAGGGCCAAATCTATTTTTAATCACTTTGATTAAATACTTTGGTTCAACTTTGTCCCCATCAATGATTTTGAGTAGTGTTCACGGAATATTCGTGGAGTTACTGAAAAGTGTTGTGCTGAAATATTGCGAAAGGTTCGGCAGATCCCCATAAACTGTCCATGCTTTGCAAACTTTTGCCTTGATACCCTACTGTCATCTGAGGGGTTTTTAAAGAACACAGTCCATACTCTCCTCCTGTTCCCAAATGCATACTGTATTCAGAGTAAGGTTACCAGATTTTTTTCAGTGAATCCGGGGACACTTTTCAACTTCAATGGGTTTTGTATGGGGACTGATTTGTAAATCCAGGGACTGTCTCCGGGAAACGGGGACGTCTGGTAACCTCAATTCAGAGACATATTGCCTCTATACATTGAGATTTAATGTTGTTGTCTTGGCTAGTAGCTGCTGACAGGACTAACCTCTATTAATTTGTCTAGTGCTTAAAAAAAACCAAAACACCACCATGTAGGGTAATGATTATGACCAAATTCAATTAAGTTAATTATGCACTCCATGAATAAGTACTTTGTTTTGTCTCTCCTGAATCAGATTGTGCTTGTGCCACCTCAATGGGTGGAGGAGCAAAGTAGCACATGGACATCCTCTGGCCATAGTGAAGTTGGGACATTGAGGTTACCATCTCAGCCAGGAAAGCAAACTGCCTTGCCAGAACCTCCCAACTATTGTGCTACATGCTTACTTCACAATGCGCCAAAGTTCTTGCTCTTGATACATTTAATATATTATTTCCCCGAATTCTTATTTACTGACAATGAACAACTCATAATGTTACAGAAATGTTACAGAAATGACAGTTGGCAAACCACCCGTGACAATCCTTTCATGTTATACAGTCAACACAACAGGGGCGAAAAAACACAGCTCCCCTGCTGACAAATGTTTGTAAGGTGGGACCAAATAAATAATGATATGTGGATCTGTTGTCAGCAGTCCAGCCACCCATAAATGAAAATGGCATCTTGCTCCAACAAATGAGTTCTCTTTCATAATAATAAAACATGGGCAGAGGGAAACTTGGATTGAGGCAGAAACAGTTCATCGGCTGGTGGGCAGAGCTGCTACACTCGCTTCCCAGCAGGTGGGGAACTGTTGTTTACAGGGAGTGAGAGGGGTGAGGTGGAGGTCAGCATGGTGAAAACACACCAGCAGAAACAATCCAGCACTGCTAGCTGTGTGTTTGCAGCGTGCCAACCTCCCCACTGCCTTGCCCCTTCCTCTCAGTAAGCAACAGTGAACCACCTGCCAGGAAGCTACCACCTGGTGAGTGGCTTTTGAAATGTGGAAATGGGTAGAAGTCAAGGAAAGGAAAGTGTGCTATCATGAATTTATGCAGCTTTCCACACTTGGCTCTTCTGGCAACAGCCAATTGCTTCTCCTTTCTCAGACAATGCTCAGCAATGGTAGTGGTAGTCAAAGGCAGCTGGCAGAACTAGATGGGGGGGTATAGCCACCCATGACTCAGACACCCAGTGGGTAGGGCCTCTTGCTTGACGGGGGAAGTCTTAGTAAACTCTGGCTGATGGGCCAAGGAGATTAAGCATCCTGCCCCTCCTGGAAGAGCAATTATAAACCATTGCACTGGGCAAACCTGAATTTTGGCTAGAGGCAGCGCCAAGATTCATACTTCCATGCACAAACATCACACCCAATGTGCATAACAATGTTTGCCAGGCGCTCATGCTCTATTATTGGTTTGTTGGTGAGTGTGGCATGTGGAGAACCGTGTCAGTTGGTTACTGTTTAAACTCAAATGACTCACACTGTTTCCTTTGCAATGGCTGGATGTTACTTCTCAGCGTTCTACAGCATTGTAGCAAATTGTGTGGCTGTCATTGGAATCATTTGGGCATGATAAGTAACCCACCACACGCTCAGGTCCGGAGTCTTTCAGAGTTAGTTCTGGGTGTGCTTCTCCCTTCATCTTCTGGAAGAACGAACCCTTGAACAATAGCCAGCCTCTCACCTATGCTCAGTTTCTGAGGGTACAGAAGGTAGTTGTAAACTACAGAGGCCACGCTGGCACCAAAAATAGGTCCTAACCAGAAGACCTGTGGAAACAAGGAGATGTTTAAGCTTTGAAAGCAACCATAAGAGTCATATCCTGAAAACTGTGGCAGGTCTTCTAACCATGATTTCAGTTCTATGCACTATTATTTATTTATTTCCTGCTTGGCAGGGGGTTGGACTCGATGGCCCTTGTGGTCTATTCCAACTCTATGATTCTATGATTTCTTATGTCTTTATTTGTTATAAAGCGGCTTGAATGCTTCTCGCCCTCTCATTATTACCTCGCAACAAACTTCTGAGGCAGGTTCATTGGTGGTTGACCCAAGGTCATCTACTGAACTTCATAGCTGAGTGGGGATTTGCTCTCCCAGGTCCCAGTACAACCCTCTAACCACTCTGCCACTGGATTGATAGGGCTAGGACGTCCAATCTGCACCAAAGCTGGTCAAGATTCTTTATCAAATGGCAGTGAGTGCTCTTCTGTCCAGGTTACCTACCAGTCACAGTCTTCTCCACAACCCTTAGATGTACTGTATCTCTGTTTAAATAACAAATTAAAAGAAACCTGTGCTCTCTTTGGGGTTTTGGTGTTGAATTTCCTCTTTTCGGGTGATACGTTATGTGGCCACCCTGCTTGCCGACCCACAATTCTAGGATCAATTATGCAGTCTAGTCTGGCGAATCAATAGTGCATCATACAAAACTTACCCAGTGAGCCCCGCTGAATTTTCCCATTATGACAGCAGGTCCAAAGGATCTAGCTGGATTTAGGGAGCAGCCAGTATAATAAATCTGTAAAAGGCAGAAAAGACATGGGTTTAGATTTGCTGTTCTTCTCAATTTCTTCATATATTCTTTCCTCTCTAGCAGTTAGGATCCCTTCATCAAGCGGTCCATCACAGAATTGTAGAGGGACCACAAGGATCATCTAGTCCAACCCCCTGAAATTTGGGAATCTTTCATGGGGCTTAAACCCACAGCCCTCAGATTAAGAGTCTCATGCTCTACCAACTGAGCTCTCCCCTCCCATCAAGGTGACTATCTGGGTATCCAGTCTCCAGGTGCTCCCATACAATGCCATCTATGAACTCTCCTCAATTAACCTTTTTGCATGATTTTTTAAAAAATTCTTTTCTATTATTATCTTAAGTTACGTAACATACATAACAAATCAAAAATTTATCAAGACAGAAAAGAAACATTACAAAATCTAAAGTATAACTAACTAAACAGAATCAGAACCAAAATACCAAGCGGTCCCTATGTGCAGATGATTCAGAAAGCTTTCAAATAAATGCAGAGATACACCATTGAAATCAAACAAAAGAGAAAATGATGTTTACCATATGGATAACATTCTTTGTTATTCTCTGTAGAACTGAAAGCAACCTGTGTTTCTCCCAATTCTACTCTTTCATTCTTGATGTTGAATATTCACTTCATCTGAATTTTCAGTATTTTATTTTAAACTTTGATGTTTGAAGGTATTTTATTTTATTATTTTAATACCACCCTCTCACAAAATATTAGGGTGGTACACATCAGTACAAAAGCATTTTTTAAAAATCTATTAACATGAAACTGAATTTTGGACTTGACAACTGACATGTAAGGTTATTTAACATGGATAATATTTGACTCCTAGCATATAACATTTGACTGTATTTTGTAGTTGATATGGAACAGCACTTAATATTTTGCTGTATCTGGTAGCTCATGGAGTTTCATTTTTGATGTGTGCCAAAACAAAAAACCAAGAGATGCTAAGAAATCTAAAATACTCTGACGTCCAAATTTCACAATCAAAATGGGAAGAATAACATGTAAAATTTGCATTTCAAGATTTGGAGAAGTTTGAATTTCAAAGGAGGGTTGTGTGTCAGTTTGCTTATTGTTTTGGGAAGTGCAGATTGGGTAGGCTAGCTTTTCCATGTGAACTGAATTGAAATTCTCTCCCATCTCTTCCTCATTCCCTTCTCCATGAACTGATAGGATTAGGGCTCAGCAAACTTTTTCAGCAAGGGGCCGGTCCACTGTCCCTCAGACCTTGTGGGGGGCCAGACTATATTTTGAAAAAAACAAACAGACGAATTCCTATGCTCCACAAATAACCCAGAGATGCATTTCAAATAAAATGAAACATTCTACTCATGTAAAAACACACTGATTCTTGGACCATCCGTGGGCCGGATTGAGAAGGCAATTGGGCTGGATCCGGCCCCCGGGCCTTAGTTTGCCTACCCATGGATTAACTTCTCCAGTGGGGAGCCACTTCTGCTTGTGTAAGTTACCCACACAATGTAGAGCCCTGATTTTTCTACATGACACAGGAAGGCTGTGTGAGTAGTGGAGGTTCCCTGATTCATACATTATCCCTGCCGCTTGTGTAGAGCAAGATGGATGGTACCCAGAGGAGAGAGCATGCTCACTGTTGCTCTTCCACCTCAGGTGTTGATTAAGCAGAGAAGCAGTGCATTCAGCAGTGGAACAAGCCGATCCAGTGCCTGGGGTGGCACACGTGCCCTGCGCCCAGGGGCGGCACCAGCTGCGAACTGGGACAGGATGCTCCACAGGGCCTCCAAGGAGTCTGCCTGCCTCCTGCCACTCAGCCACCCTACAGCTGAGGGGGAGGCGGTGGGCGGACTGTTTGGGGCAGCGTGGAGTTTGTGGGTGCCCAAGCCACTTCGTCACTCTCAGGAGAGATGTGTGGCTCGGGTGTGCTGCAGGCCCTGAGGTGAGTGCCACCCACCATTTTGTCACCCCCCCTCAGTGGTGACACCTGGGGTGACCCACCCTAACTGCCCCTGCCTCCCATCCCTGAGTAATTATACTGCTTTTACTGTTGTTGGGTTTTTTTTTGTTTTTTGGCAGATTTTTATTCACTGGAGGGAGGACTTCCCCTCTTCATTTTGGCCTCTCCTGGCCAAGTAAACACTGGAATTCCCTCAGGGCCCCCACTCCAAATCTTTTTATTTTTTTATTTTTTTAAAAAAAGTGCATACACACACACACACACACACACACACACACACACACCAGCACATAACCATTTCTAAATAACTCTAGCCGAAGTAACTTTTCCTACCCTGCCTTCTAGAAACACGTCAACTCATCTGTTTCCAAAACTAGGGGGAAATGATAACTCAGGCGCTTACCCCGATGAGGTGAGCCATGGTGACTGCCAGTCCAATAGACAATGCTGCATTGCCCCTGCTCTCCGTCCTGCGTTTATCAGTGGCAGAGAAGATGCACATGACAACCGAGAAGGTTAGGATGATTTCCACCACCAGCGCCTCACCAGGGTTTGTGCCATAGGTGAGCTGGCAAAATGGAAGAGATCAATGTGAAGAGAAAACAAAAAGTTCTAATATGGAGCATCTCTGGGCTGGGTCCTCACAAGCCTCCCTCTAATACAATATTCCCCAACCTGGTGCCCTACAGATGTTGTTCAACTCCAACTCCCATCAGCCCCAGACAGCATTGCTAATGGAAAGGGATGATGGGAGCTATAGCCCAATATCTGGAGGGTACCAAGTTGGGGAAGGCTGCTCTAATGGGTGTCTATTGCTGCAATCCTAAGCACACTTACCAGGAGTAAGCCCAATTGACTTCAGTGGGACTTACTTGTGAGTAGGCACATATATGACTGCACATTTAGGATGCAGACCTATCCTGAGCTGGGAGTAGATCCCATTGAACACACAGAGGGATTTACTTCTGAGTAAACCGATAGTAAATATGATAACTCTGTAAGTGTTCTCTGTCTCTCCTGCCAACAACAACAACAGTCTTCTGAGCAATTCTGCCTTAACTGCTGAATCTTCCTTTCTCCAATGAATAGCTTTCCTCTGTACAATGCCTTCTTTTGCCAATTTTCTCAGTTTTACTGTGGGAGCTGGAAAGCTAGATTAGAAACCTGTTTTGCCCAGGTGACTCTCCCAAGGATCTCCCAAGGATACAGGATCACAGATGAATGCAGATAGTGATGCTGCTGGTCTGCTTTTCACCCAGATGTTCCTCCTTTTCCATTGCAACACCACACACACCCATCAACTTTTCTTCACATGGGACCAAAAATAAAAAATAAAAAAATTTGGGAAAACTGGATCCCAAAGTGACCAACCTAAAGAAAAACCCTATTGTCAGTTAGCAGCCTATTCTTATGGCTTATCCAAGCTTCCTCTTGTTCCACCGCTTTCCCTTGGGGAAAATCACTGTTCAGCACTCAATTGGAACAAACCAGAACTTGAGTTTTCTCCGGATTGACATTTGCTCTGATTTAGGGCTAAAAAAATGGGTTTTCCTGAGAAAGGAGTGGGGCAAGGGGAAAAGCGCTTGGACAAGTGCTTTCTAGGCACGAGACAAGCGGAAGTGTGGATGAACCCTTAGACTCTCATGCAAGCAGATGAATGTCTACATCATGAAAGCCCTTGACAAGATCTTGTGTCAATCTGTTGTGCAATGTTGATGCAGCCAGTGTTCTATATTGTAATCCAGGAATGCACATTAGCTAGAATCAACCCATATAGAATTGTTGGTTTTGTTCACATTCCTTCATCTGTCTAATTCGGAAGGCTGGGAGTCAATTGTGCAAGATTCTTCTTCTTTTTTTACAAAGTAAACATAAAAAATAAAAATGTGCACCCCCCCAAACCATTCCATTGTAACTATCCAACCTCCCAAAATTTCAACATCTCTTGTGATGGTTTGACCCCTTTCCGTTTTAAAAGTACAAATTCTACAAATACCTTCCAGATTTCCTCAAAATCATAACCCCTGCATATTCCCTGTCTTACCTTAATAGCACATGTTAATTTACCATTAATAGCTATATACCGCACCTCTTTATATCAATCTTCCATTTTATATTCACTTTGCCCCTTCCACTTCCTAGCTATAATAACTCATGCAGCTGTCAATAAATCCATGAGCGAGTCCTTCATAGCCTGCGAACCTTCCACCCCATCGTAAATCGTTAACAATGCTACCTCTGGACTTTCAGTCAGCTTTAACCCAGTGATTTCTGTTATCTCCTTAAACACCCTTTGCCAAAAAAATTGTACATATTTACACCCCCACCACGTGTGAACCTAAGTCCCAGTTTCCTGGCATCCCCTCCAACATGACACTGAATATTCCTTGTTTCTTTGATTAGAGCATATTGGTGTTAAATACCATCTCCATACTAACCTATAGTAATTTTCTTTTATCTTATAGACAACATTTTCAAAGTGCGTTCTCCCATATTTCCCCCCAGCTTTGACTATTTATCTGCCCTGTTGTCTCCTTTCCGTACACCTCTTTTAATTGATCTTGTTGATCCTTCATTTTTACTAATATTTTATAAATTTCAATAGCTTCCCCTTTAATAACTATATATTCTTCTTTATCTCCCTTTTTTATAACCCCCCCAAATTTTATATATTCTTTGCATTTCTTGTTTTCCCTTAACCACCTCTTTGTCCATTGCTCCAGTTAAACCAAGTTATTTTACTTCCTGTTAGAGCTTCTCTTATTTTTTCTTTGCTTCTCATTTTCTCCACCCATTCCTTTATTTTAAGTATTTTCTTCTCTTTCGCTTACTTTTTCAATTTCCTTTTTTGCAATTTACTGGGAAGTCTTCTAGCCTCACCACCAGTGTTAGTGGGGAATTTTCTGGTATCAATTTTCCTTTATATTTCGCCCATTTCTCAATGATTTTTCTTAATAAGAGATTTTCAATATTCTGCTACCATTGCCTATTTGGTTTGATAAAAATATATATTCACAAACGTCTCCCTCATTTCCTGTGTACCATTCTAGAACCATTCTAACTCTCCTTGTTCTGTTATCCCGTCTATGATATATCTCAACTGATTTGCTATATAATATAACTTGATGTTGGGGAGACCCAGGCCACCTGTTTTCAGGGGTTTATACCATCTTATTTTATTAATTCTAGGTTTCTTATCCCCATTACAAAATTTATTAATCATACTTTGCCATCCCTTTATCTCTGCCTCCAATATCATAATTGGTAACATTCTAAATAAATAAAAAAATATTCTACTTGTGCAAGATTCTGTTGATCAATCATTTCTTTGGCAATGGAAGGACTTACGTCATTGAGGGCTAATGTATGGCGGACGTCTTTGGGTGTCACGGAGTAGATGATTCCTGCACCAGTGATGGCTCCCAACAGCTGTAACACCACATAGAGCACCGAGCGGACAATAGAGATCTGGTTCCCTACAAAGTAGGCGATGGTCACTGCTGGGTTGACGTGCGTGCCGCTGACATGACCAAACGCTTGAACCAAGGTGCCGATGGTTAGGCCAAAGGCCATGGAGATCTGGAGGACACTGGGCAGCTGTAAGGGCCACTTGAAGGCTGAGCCTAGGACAATGAAAATGAAGATCACAGTGGCGACAAATTCACAGGCAAGAGCCTGGGTAAATCTGAGTGTGAACAGCTCCTGTTGCCTTCGTGGTGGAGCAGCCGCCGCCATTGTGAGATCAGAGAGGAGGTAGGAGCAGTGTAGATGATGAGGTGGAAAGTTATCCTGCTTGGAGGCAGGGATTGGTGTAAAGTGTAGGGCCGTGCACACATTTATAAGGGACTCATTTAATGGTGTGTGGGTGGAGCCAAAAAACCAGTCAGTCATCCTGAATTCTCCTTTGGAATTGGAAGCATTTTGAGCATAAAATTACCAGAGCCTTTTTCAACATTAAACCGAAGGCCCCGACACTTTGGGGTGTATGAGTGTGATTTCTTCTCATTCTCCTCAAAGCAATAGGTTTTTGTGGAATGCCTTTGGACATTTAATTTTCTTCCTTTATTTCCCATTGTGTGGGAGGTGGTATTTCACACATTTTATTTTGAGAACATGCACAGACATGCTTATTAGTTTATTAGGCATATTTATAACCCATCCATCATCGACATGGATACCACTGTGAGGCTCAAAACAGTTTTGTTTTTTAATCAACCCAAATGATGCACACTAAATACCCCATGTTTAAAATCCTGTGTGCATTGCATGTATATATATGGCTGGACCAGCTCACAATAACTCAGTGAAGACCCAATGATATTAATGGGCATGACAAATTTGGTTTCATCAATCTCAGTGGGTCTACTTTAAGTAGGAGTAACTTGGAAACTGCCCATCCTCCCACCCCCCTATTATATATATGAGCTATTTGGTGTGTATTCTTTGCTTTTAATTTTTTTTAGTTTGTGGTTTGTACTCCACTCTGGGGTAGAGAGGGGGGCTGGGAATTTTGAGGGACTCAAAATGATTCCTTCAAAACACATTCTCTGTACCCTTTTTGGTGTTTGTTTGCCTATTCACAACCTTTGTTTCTCCCTTTTCTTACAGCTTCTGCGCCATTCCCTCTCATTCCCTGAGTGACACCTCCAGATGTCATAAATACACATATATTATGATACCATCAGATCTTGCTAAATGATGTTATCAACAGGCCAATTCAGTTAGACAGCAGAAACTCTGGAAGTGAACTGCAAACATTTTCTTTCTTTTCTCACAGCTTCCCCCCCCCCCAATTTCTTTTTCCCATCAGGGCGTAAAAATGTTGGCACTGAAATCTCGCTTAAAGCAACATTCGCAGCAAAGCAGGTTATTCATTCTCCAGGGAAATATTTGATAAATTTTGAGGGAAGCTAAAAAGTTTATGTTAAGAGTAGCAGATTTCATGGGGAGGCTCCTTACATCCCAAGGTTGTTACTAGATTTCGCCTATTGTAAAATTCAGGTTGAATTTAGAGTATTTTCTCACCCGAAACATCTCAGGATTCTTGAAGACAACTAAAAGTGATTTTTAAGAAATGTAACAATTTTTTTTGAGGAGAATGAGTTTCCACACATTCAACTCTGAGTGGTCATCATTTTCCCAGATTGTCCCAATCATGTTCTTTTGGGGAAATGATAGTTGTCCATAATGGCCATCTTTCCCCCACACAGAATGACACATTCTGTAAAAAAAATAAAATGGTGGTCACTAGGTGACTCTGAGCTTTCGTCTGAACACCACCCTAAATGGTAGCAAAAATGTAAAAAAATCATTATATTATTATTAGTACCAAGGCATGGCATTTTAATGAATGAGACAAGATAGGTGCAAGGTTATAATGAATGAAACATAAAATGAATGTGGCTTTCAGCAACAAAAACAAATGGAGTCCTTACATGGTTCCCCCATGGTTCCCTTTTTTTTGAATGGAACTCTTTGAGAAAGAAATATATGAAGAAAATATTCACTTTAGGTACCATCCAGTGGAAAGTTGTCCTCCACAAGCCCCACTGAAATGAACACTTAGTTCTTCAACTGTAGGTCCCCAGATATTGTCAAACATTCATCATCCCCAGCCATCCTAGCCAAAGGTCATGGATGATGGGATTAGTAGTCCAACAACATATGGAGATCCAAACTGAAGGATTCTGAATTAGATGATGTCTTGTCCCAATGTTATTTTAATAGGAACACAAAAACACTGCACGTAGTTTGTTTCCAGGACATCTGCATGATAGATGTAATGCAATGTACATGAGCAATTTAAAAGCACTCAGGATGCACATTCATCAGTTTCCCCCCCTACACAACACGCTGATGCAGAGGATGACGCAAGGCCCCATGACAAGCTCAGGAAGGAGAAATGATGGAGGTGGAGAGCAAAGTGATGGCCTAGAATGAGGCAGATGCTCACAACAGTATTTCTGCCTAAGTTAGGAGGAAAAAAATACTACTTGGAAGCCACTCCCTGGCTACTAATTACTCTTTATTTCTCCCAGTTCCTCATTGTGTTCTTCCACAGCGCTGCAAATGTCCACATCCATATGACCTCTCTCCAATTCCTTCTCTTCTCCAGCTTTCTTCCCCTTGTCACCAGAACCCTAAAACTGTCATTCTCCAACGCACTCCTACCTTATTCTCTTCCTTCCTCATTCTCTCTTATTCTTCCAAATGCCATCTTTGCCCACACCTAATTCCTCTTGCCCTTTCCCCAGTTCCCCTTTTTTCTCTCCTCATCACCAAAATGACTAAAACTATATACACAACCTTCCCTTAACACCCAAGTCATTGCCTACAGACCTTAGTCTCCTCCTTTTTCTGCCCCCGCCTTTAGAACCAACCAATGAAAACAGCACAATGACAGACGACTGCAAAAATAATATAGAAAGCGATAATGTTTGGAATCCAAGATAGCACTACGTGAACATCCCATCAGTGCAAAGTTTTCTACCCCTTGCCCCTTAAATCTGTTCTAAAGGTTCCTCCAACCCTGGATTTAGGGGGCTGGCATGGGGCACTCACATAGGGGGAACAGGGAATCCCATTGTGCCTAGTGCTAATTCTTGCACTAGATCAACTATTTAGTTCAATACCACCTACAAAATATCACATTGGGGGTGAGAGGTCAAATTTACTTGGTCCATTTTGGCACATTGTGTCTGCTTCTTCTCATTACATTACTGCACACTTACATATTACCAGGGCTATGAACCACTTGTGGCATTTTCAGCTCCGTGTTTCTCATGATCAACTGATTAAGATGAAATACATATAAAATCAAAAGAAGAGCCTTGCTGAGTCAGACTAAGGTTTCCTAGTCCTTGTCTTGCATCAGACCTAGTCCTGCCAACCAGATTATTCTAGGAAGTTCAGAAGCAAGGTGTGAGGGCAATAGCCTACTCCTACTGTTGCTTCCTGGGAACTGGTATTCAGACATGTGCTGCCATTAAAGATGCATGGCCTGTATAGCCATCTTGGCTCATCGCTGCTGAAAGATCCAGCCTCTGAAAATTTGTCTAATCCCCTTTTGAAGTAGTCTAAGCTAGCACTTCCTTTATTGTTGATGCATAGGAGCTTATATCTTGATTCATCATGGTAGTTGGCAGTGCCGTGGTATTTGTGAAACTGCTAGTGTGCTCACATAACAATAATAACTCGGACAAAAACCACCCTCTATGTCAAAGCTCCTCTTGGCTTGGATGTCAAAGTGGCTTATGAGGAAATACAATGAAGAGGTGCATGATAGCAAGTGCTACTGTCTTTTGGTGGAGAAGAAGGATTTTCACTTTTAATTAGGTCTGTAGCCAGCATTGCATCATTCTCAGGTAAAGTAATAATTTAATTTAATTTTTGTTTTGTTTATAAGTTCTTTTAATGTCTAGATTATCCTGTCCAAAGGGCTCAAAACAAACTGATTCATCGTCAGCATCTATGTATATTGCTAGGAACATAAACAATAGTACCCTCAGTGATTACTGCTGCAAAACAAATAAATGGGTGCTAAGTACTAGTTATGCCTGCTAAAGACACAGATTTGTTTGTTTTAAAATGGGGGGGGAGGGCTTTTGGACCTTTGTGGATAACTTTGCAAGTGAGCCCTCCTGATTATACCTCATCTTGCAGATGTCCATCTTGTGGTGACCATGGAGAGGGCCTTCTCTCATGGGCAGAACCACCTCCCCATAGAAGTTAGGTGCCAACAATGATGGAGTTTAAGTGCTTATTGAAAACTACTCAGGCCAGTAAGCACAACGTACGGCATTTTCTTTGGTTACAGATGCTGTTCTTTGATTTGAATGTCTTCTTCACCTGCCTTTCATGGGTTTCCAACTCCAACCTTCACAGTCAGTGAATGAATGAATGAATCTTTATTTGCGTCAGCCATCGGTCATAGCAATAATAAAATAACTATATGATATACAAAGAATAGAAATAAAAGGTCAATTATATAAAATTCATTTTAGGGTTTTGAATCAATAGTCAAATAGGGGGTCTTATTCTGATTGCCCCAGCTAAAAACCTTGCAACCTTTGCTGTCACCTGCTCATCTTGATCTGCCAAAGAAAGGACACTGTAACCGTGGTTGGGTGACCCGGAATGGACAATAAAAGAGTGGTGATAATCTCATTCCTCAAGTCTTTATAAAGAGTGCAAGCCAGAAGGACATGCGCCACCGATTCGGTACTGCCAACTCCACAGGGACATAAACGTTTTTCGTGTGGAATCTGTTGGAATTAGACTGTTTGCTTTACTAAAACCCAAAGTTGAGTAGCTGTTGTGATGATAAACCACAAGAGTTTCACAAGTGAAGTTTCTGATAGACAATTTTAGTCCAGGCTCTTTTGTGACAATCTTGCAGCACTACGGATATTAGACCGGGGAGATTTGAGTTTAGGCAAAGCCAATAGTTAAGTGTCCTATGCCAGATCCGTAATTCTACCAAGGGAAGATTAGCCTCTAGGTGCAACGATGCGTTTGTGACACGGGGTGGCACAGAGAAAATTTGCCTTAAGAACTTTGGTTGGACAGCTTCCGTCGATCCAAAGTGAGTGCCTGTCCAAATCTGAGCCACGTATAATAACTGTGCTAGGGATTTAGCTTGGAACACTTCCAGGACTGATGGTATCTGTTTACCACCTTTTGTGTGGAAAAAGCGTGTCAGAATTTTGGCGCTTTGGGCCAAGCATTTCTTTCTG